AGCCAACTGTTCAGCTCTCGGTCATCTGAGGCCAGTGATAAGGCCTGGCTGGAGGTGGAGGGCAGATTCACCTCTTCCACAACATTGTTGCGCCCTAGTTCACTTGGCAATCAGTGAGCAATACACTTGGTTGCTTCCGCAATTTGTGCCTGTGCCGATGCCAAAGTTTAAGAGCACATCCAGTAAAAGTGATTTCGCCAAGCAAGGCGAGTAAAGCTGCTGAACAAATATGCCCGCAATCAGGTGAGACAAATAGAAGTTAGAGCTCGCCAGCATCTCTTCGCGTCCACTCTGTTTGGCTTAGAGATGATCCATTCTCGACTGTAAATATATCTGGACTTTGGAAAGTCTTTTACAGCTTACCCACCAAACGAAATTTAAGAAATGCAAACGAAAGCAATGCTATTTTTCGAAGAGTTCACTAAAAGCGATGTCTAAGGAAATATCTAATCCTCGAAATGGGTGTCAGGTTCTTGTCGATCGGATCGCCTTACCGAGTATGTACAATCCTCGGCGCTTTACCTTCCAACCCCGATGGCCCAGCGATGAGTCCACTTGGCGGACACTGCGAAAGCTACATGGCATACTTGACAAAGCTTCAAAGTAGACTTGACAAAGATCCGTAAAATCGGGCATGTTGGTGTCATCTATCGACTTGCTGTAGGTTACATTTTCAGCCATCTCAAAGGCACAAAGGAGCACTTCAAAAGTCCACTTTATGGGAGAACCCAGAGTCCTTATTCTATAAGAAGTTAGTCAGCCCAAGTCATTTAAGGTGAGTTAAGAAATGATAATTGAGTTTTTCCCATAATTCGAAGAGTAGGCTTGACAATATCATTAAATTTCACTTAACTTTGCTTCACATCTCAGTTCCCAGCGAATTCAATGCTGAGTTGTGATAATTTTCAGTCCTTATTTCACCTTAAACGAGATAGTGTGACTAAATTCTTAAGATATGACTTTAAATTTTGCAGAAATAATTGGTCGGGAAAAATTCGTGAAATGATCTCATCAGAAAATGAAAGATGATTACCGTAAAGTCAGTTGAAGACTGCTGAATTGTGCAAACAAGTCATAGGCCCACCATCTTGAAACCCCGATAAACATGTGCTAAGCTTTCGTCTGCACCATCGTGACAGACAAAATCAGTGCAAGAATACATACTTTAGGAAATAGCGCAAAAAATGCACTAAGCATGGAGAAAAAGTGGCAGTTGCAAGCACAGTCACTTTTTATACACATTCTTGCGATCTTGATTTAGTATCCCATCATTTGGTTGGCCATCTCAAACTCGACTAGTCTATCGAGTCGCTTGCATTGACTATGCATCCAGCAAACTTAGATTTTTGTACTCATACAAGAGAATTTGTGCTCGCATAGTCTTTTCTAGATGAGTCGGCAGGTCTACCCCACATAGACATTACCAGATGAGCACGAAACCTTGTAACAGTAGGATCTAGAAGGAGGGTTCAAAAATTCTAGAAAAGGCATAACTGAGGTGTTAATATTTCTTATGCTCTACTTCTTCAGTAGGTCACTCAACTTTTTTCCAAACTAATAATAAGTATAATCAGAAACCGAGTAATATGGTGATAAATATAATTTTCTATAATTGTTTTGAAACGATATGTCTCAATCTAAAAATGTTCTGCTCCCCGTTATTTGCATCTGTTAGACGCAGACTGCTTATTATCATTGATTGCATAACTCCTAGCTTAGCTGAATAATAAATTAATAAGGCAATCCGCGTTTGTAGGCTTCTCATACCCGTCTCCGCCCAACTATTTACCTTCTTTGCTCACTGATATATCTAGAAAAGACAAATTATCCTCTTTTTCTCGCTCCATAGTAGACTTAGTATTGCCACCTATAATGTGTATTAGCTCAAGTAATTCACCCAAACTATCTTTCCGTATTGCCAAAAGGCAAAGTAATCGTCCTGAATAACTAACTAGCAACTTTAGATCAAGGAAAGTCTCTTGAAAGATACAAACTTCAAATTGGGTCATGTGGTTAGAATCTAAAAAGAGGCTAACCAAGATCCAATATCCAAGCCCCGTATTTCCTCATACCACTTAACATTGAGGGTTCATGTTCACATTGAGTAATATAATGGTTAAAGTTTTGCCCAACTTTTTACCTGATATGCTCTAAGGATTGTGATTTAGGGTTAACTCTAAGGCCTTCCTTGCCTCGTTTATTTAAGTATTAGTGCAGATAGACACTAAATTGCAACTTATCGGTAACTCTCCTTTTTCTGTATTCGGATCATCTACTAACTTTATAAAGTTGTAAGAATTGCTTATCAAAATCGTCCAAGTTAGGGAGCTTAGCTTGTGACGGAATTCTAATAACTCGTCTTGTTTTATGCATTAAGCTAATTTTATTATTTACAATAATCTATTGTGAGATACCTTCCTCATGAATTATGCTCATTCAGATTGCAAGTATGAAAGTATAAAAAAGTGACTACTGTTACAGCTGGACGTTTTCTTTCCTGGCTTGGTATATTTTTTGCACTATTTCGTAAAGAATTGACTCTTGCATTGATCATGTCTATCATTATGGTACGTGTGAAACCAGCTCACGAAACCCAGTTTTATTCTTACCCATTAAGTATTGATAATATCGGAAACCATTCGTGTCTAAAGGAAGTCTTCCTACTGGCTCAAGCTGTAACTTTACGCTTACTTTTGTAGAATCGTAAGACTATTCGGATTATCCCATTCAAGCCCGAATATGTGGATGGACACGTGAAGGAATTGGGGACTTTACACTATCTCCAGAGTGGCTTTGAATAAATTCGTGATTCGCATGTGCTTCCGGACCATTAGATTGTCAGACTACAAAGGGTGAGCATGCAAATGACACCAAGACAGAAGAATATATATAGAGAGAGATAAACAGAGGCAGAGTCAGGAACAGACAGACAGTGACCGAGAGACATAGATATGGAGCCAGAAAG